TTCGTGCGATCGACAAAACGGCTTGCAAACTGACACGCAATCAACCATCAATTTTCTACATGGGAGCCAGTGGATCCACACCAGCCAACTCACCGATCAAAATCAAAAAACACGTGCGATGCCCAGGCACTCGCAAACTGATTGCAGCCATCATGAAACGTGGAAATTGCATCATTCGAATGGTCGATGAATACATGACATCAGAGCATTGCCCATTGTGTTTCAAGCGATTTCCACAAGAAACTCGACGTGATCGATACAAGAAATGTGTGGGTTGTGTACCAAATCCAATTGTTGGACTACCACGAACCATCGTAACCAATGTGAGCAAACGATTACTACAAATGCGACGAACAATTGAACGAATGTGGCGCGAGATGCGTGATATAGGCGATGTCATTGCTGCAACTCTTCGAGATGGACCGAATGCAGGTCGTTTGGTGTCAAAGAAGCAACGCTTCTTCAAAACATGGCTACCAAATGTTGCAAACGTTGAAATCGAGGGAGCTGCTGGAGCACAACCAACGCTCACAACTGTATGGCACCGTGATATCGCAGCAGCGAAGCTGATCCTCTACAAAGGTATGCAATCAATTGAAATTGATACAAATTTTGAAGCAATTGTTATACATGCACAGAAAGAAAATATCAGCCGACGCTATACGCAAAACCGACTGGTACGTGCGCTCATTCGTTTTTACATCTTTTACATCTATTACTATACGATTTTTCGACTGTGCGAAGATACGCACAAAGAGTAACGAATCAGTCGAAAAATCGTATGGTCACTAGATGTAAAAGATGTAAAAACGTATGAGCGCACGTACCAGTAGGTTTTGCGTATAGCGTCGGCTGATATTTTCTTACTGTGTGTAATGTGTTTTTGTTGTGTATCATTCGGTAGGTGAATGCGTGGTGTTCAAGCGGACAATTCATCCAAATGTACGGAGACCACGCCGTGTTGACAACAATCAGCCATTGCCGTTGTATCGAGGTCAGAATCAGAATGTCAACAATGGACATCTGCAGCCGCAGTAGTAGCAGCCCTCATTCAACAACATTCAAACAATACTAAATTTAGAAATTAGTTTATAACAATTATTTGTTAGTTCGCTAGGCTTGATTAAATTGTGGCCTTGCCAAAGTACGAGTACCTCTTGGTATAAATTGTACTCGGTAAGTGGAGTCTATTGCATATACAATAGCATAATGATGATTATGAATCAAGTCAATTTTTTCATATCAGTCTAATTGAATTGTGCTTT